ACCGCAATAGGAGGAGCAAGGCCGCGAGGCCTGCCCTATCGCAACAATTGGCACGGATACGGAATGATGGTGATAAGAGAAGCATGGCTCCGAGAAACCTGCCTTATTACCAGTCAGCCTAACTCTAATGAAAATTGTGATAGGAGAAGCTAGGCTCCGAGAAACCTGCCTTATTGCCCGCCAGTCGTGCTTCGACATCAAACAGAGATAGAAGAAGTGAGACCCCATGAGGTCCACCCTATCACGACCAGACGCCCAATAAGATAAGAATCCCGTGTGATCTACCCTTCTATGACAACTCTTATGAAGATCCCGCAAAAGATTAACGAACTGACAATGCCCAATTTTTGATTCTATTGAGGTGGAGGTAGAAGGAAGGTGGCCCCGTGTGACCTGTCCTACTAACTTAATCTAGTGGTTGATGTTATAAGAGGTAGAAACTGATCTAATAAGAAGTTAGAGAGGTAGAAGCTATCTTGAAGAGGTAGAAGCTGATCTAATAAGAAGTTAGAGAGGCTACCTTGAAGAAGTTATGTCGATGTAGTATCATTTCCGACTCAAATGAAGTTTACTATATTGAACTTCAAATAGGGTCATATCGATGGCAAAAAGGTGTTGATAAGAGATGACTTGTGTGTGATTGCAGGTCATCTTAACCAAGAAGACTCTTTATGAGTCTATACAAGACAACATGCTATTGCCTTAGGGTAACAGGTTGGTTCGCCAACTCAACCCTCACTCACCCTTTACACCCACACTTTGCATCTACCTCTTCACTAAATGACATTTCTCGTTTTTGGATCATTATCTAAAGGGTCTGTGTTTGATCAAAAGAAGTCCTCGAATGACTGAGTCGAAAAAGGAATGTCTGGCAGAGGGGTTTGGAATACAAGTGTAATGTGTGCGGAAGTGAATGAATGGTTGACTCTGTTAGGGTCTTGTAATGTGATTGACTCTTGTCTGCATGTCTGTAAAACGACCAACCACGTGCTATTCACTCAACACGCATTGTCGAACTTATACTTACATGAGCCTCGACTCAGACACTTCATCGACACCTAACCTTTGTACATTTGGTTTGGTTTTTATACTTTACTCCTTTCTTGATGCTAAATAGATTAGGATAATTGGCAAGGCCAGATAACCTTATTCAAGTCATTTTCTTTGAAATGTCACGAGCCTACTTTGACTTGTGATATCTGTTTGAAAGGCCAAGAACCTATGTTGCTTCTCTTTCAAAAGTCGAAGCTTTGTTCACTCTGATGTTTGCCTCTGTTTGTGTAAAATGTAAAAAACATCTATGTGCCTAATTATTTAGTCTCATTTTGTCTCCTATGTATGTGTGATATGACAAAGAGTTTTTCATAAAGGATATATTGAATGGATTTAATCACTAGGTAGGATAGGGTATATAACTTACGAGCGATCCCTGATAATTCAAGTATTGAGGGGATCCTGCTCCGAAAAAAAGGATAGGTTACGAGTTATACATATTGAAACTATTTATATTCAAAGCATAGTATGTGCGAACGTCCGTCGATCGAGTCGACCTCAATTGTGAGTCGGTCAGGGAGATCAGCGCCTCGATGTCCGACACATATACGGGTCAGTCTTAGGCGTTCAACCGCGTGTATACCTATGCTACGACGATCGAGTGAACGCCCTCGGTTGACTTACCTCTGCGATTGCATGTAAAAGTCTTTGCACGTGGGTCAGTAGCTCAGCAGGGATACGCCCACCTAAGGGATGGTGACACCTCCCGCAGGTGGAGGTAAGTTGTACCTCGCGGGACCTCTGCCCTTACGCAGGGAGTCGTGAGAGGTATAGCTGGCGCACATGGTCGGAGTTGGTCTTTCGATAAAACGTTTCTAAAACTCCTGCGTGATGCAACCGTGAGGTCCTACACTGAACATGCTTTACGTCTGGGTGTGGGACCGCCGCGCCCGACACCGGTCTCTTTGTCCCCACCTGATCCCAAAAGTCTCGGCTCTCTTGTCCCCAGTCCCGCACAAAGTTCTGGTCCACTCCCTAAGTCCCCGATCACAGCCAGAGCCTCGGCCTTAACTGCCCAAGAGAACCAGTCCACTTGGCCCACGCCTGGCGCCCCTGACTCTCGTTAGCAGTCCCAGTTCGGCTCAGCAAGGGCGCACATGAGCGGGTACCGAGCCAAACAGGCAGTTCACTGCAACACCACTCTCCCTGACTATGCCTGTGTGTGTGAGTGGGCGCGCTCCTGCTCGCGGCTCAACCCCGACTTAACCGAGAAAACCCGACTTGAGTCCTCAAGGTTCTCGCTTGGTCCTAAATTGGACCAACCGACTCGAATAACTCGGCCTCGTTCGAGGCCCTGGTCTCATCCCGAAGCCCCGGTTCGCCTGTAGCCGCGACCTTGTTCCTAGGTCTCGGTCCGCTTGGTGTCGCCCCTGTCTCAACATCCTGGTTCGCCTGGCCCCTAGGCGTTGTGCCTTGCCTAAGCGCGAGCCACGTGTTGGAGCGTGCGCGTGCTCGCGGGTACCCCGACCGTGCGCGGGGCTGCACCCGGATGTGCGCATGTGCTCGCTGTTGCGCGCAAGTGTGATGCGCGCGAGGGGCTACGTGTAGTTGCGCGTCCCACACTGTTGCGTGCGGGTACGATACACGCCCAGGGTTATGTGGTGTCACACTTCCCGACCCCGATCTTTATCCGTGCACGCGTGCTGATGCGCACGGCTCCCTGTCACACTCTCGTTTCGTGCGTGTGTGCGCACGCTGATCCACGTGGTTTTCCATTTCTGCTCTTGATCCACACACGTGTGCGCGAGTTGTTGCGCGCTATCTCCAGAGTCAGCTCCCGAATCGTGCGCGTATTCCCGCGTTGTCGCTGCTATCTCCTGAGTTCGTTCACTGTGCGTGTGCGGGAGCATCATTGCGCATTTTTTCGGTACCCGCTTCCGAACTGTGCACGAGTTGTTGCGCGCGCTGATCCACGTGTCTTCCTGGTTATGCCTCTCGATCCGCATGCGCGTGCGCACGTCAATGCGCGTTGTCTTTCCCGGATCGTTCTAGATCTGTGCACACACATCCGCTTGTAGTTGCGCACCCGTATGTGTGGTCGCCCGGTTCACGCGCGGGCTGCTTGATCTTTGGCCGTAGTTGTGCGCAGGCAGCATGCTAGTGTGCATGGCTATGGTGCGCTCGTCCAAACCTCCTCTTTGAGCATCTCTACCCACGATTCGCTTGTCTCTTGGTGCGTTCACCTGTCAATCCGTGCGCGTGTCCGAGCGTTGTGGCCTGTATCTGTTCGCGAACCGTGCACGTGTTGTTGAGCGCTATCACCCGTATCCGTTCTCTATCCACGCACGTGTACGCTCGCCCTTGCAATCCCGATTGCGCGAACGTGCACGTGGTTGTGCGTGTGTGTGTGCCCTTCCAATCCTGACCGAGCGAACGTGCGCACGACTGGGAGTATGCGTGCGGAGCCCAATCCCGATCACGCAAATGTGGGAGCAGCTGCGTGTGTGCGCCCCGGAATCAATCAAGCTGTGCAAGGGGCTCCGTACTATTGTGCGCCCGTGCGCTTGCTTCTTTCAGAGTGCGCGGGTGTGGGGCACACATGCCTATCCGGGCTCAGGTGCATGTCGACGCACGGCTATGGTGCGCGCATTCGTCCGCCTTGGTAAATCCCCTCTCTGTGCGTTTCTCGCCCCGAGTGGATCCTCTGCTGGTGCGCCTGAGTGTCTCTTGTATCCAGTCTCCCTCCTCTGTGCGCCTGCTTGTGCGCCAGTCCAAAAAACCCCGTCCTTAGGCCCAGTTGGGCTTATAAAGTTTGGTGGGCCCACCTCCACGAGGCTCCAGCAGTCCGGTGTGTCGCTGGAGTCAAGAACTTTGCAGCGCCCCGGTACCATGGCACTCCACGAACCTAGGCCCCGGCCTATTTGGGCCCCCGAAAGGTTTTTCGGCGAAGGGGCCCTTTCTGTCGGGTACCGGGCCTTTTGCAGCGCCCTGGTACTGGTCCTCCTTCCGAACCGGGGTCCGAACTTGTCCTCCCGTGGTCCCCACACGAAAGGGGCCGGGCCTTATAAAATTTTTCAAGGTCAGAACCCCGGAATTAATATTCGTATGACCCGAGGGCCCTTTTCCCATCCTTAGGCCCGTCGCCCTTTTTAGGCCACACGTATAGCCCAAATGTGCAGGTCTCGAGCATGCTCGCACAACGTTTTCTCTCAATTTGGATCCCGTGGCGAATTTTTGTGTTACGACCGCTTAGTCCACCCGAGGGCTCGTTTCAAGAGCCGCCGTCCTCTACTGTCTGGCCCATTGCCCGACTCTTAATGCGAGTCCAGCCCTCTCGTCCTTTTCCTTCATCCGGGCTTTCAACACTCCTTCCGCATTAGCCGCTCCTTTATGGCTTGGCGATGATGCCCCTCAATAGTGTGCATAGATGAGGCCCACTCAGGGATTAGGATTCTGCTTTTTCCCGACCCATCAGTCCCGGTACTCGTCGTGCGAACCTGATATTGTATCCTTTTAATGTCGGTTGTGTCCCGACCAGGCAAATCGACGGAACCCAACACTCCTCAAGTGTTATCATTAAGGAAGTAAAGGGCGGTGCAGGGCTGGAGCCGCCTGACAACGATGCCCGTGACAGCCTCGCAGTTGCCGTCCTGGTGTCGTTGACACCGCTCATCTTGGCCCGTATAGGCCTCCCATGCTGCTCCTCGTAAGCTCTCATGGAATCATGACAAGTGCCATCGACGTTGCCGATCGATCGCGCCCCCGCGGGCACATCTGCCGGTCCATATGCTGATGTCTGTCCAATATCGCCCGCCCTCCATTCCATGCCCGCACCGTCGTAGAAAGACCTCGTAGGCAATGCGCTCGGCGCGGCCTGCCCGTTGGCGGCAGGATCAGCGGCAGAGGGGCGTGAGGGTGGTGGACACATAATGTCACGCATCCCTGTCAAATGCGGTCGAGGCTCATCTGTGTGCCCGTCTCCAACGTCATGTGTGCTGGGCCTGACAATGCTGGGGTGTGCGGTCGATGACCCTCTGCGCTCGATGCCCCCCCTTAAGGACCGTCCACCATTTGCGCTCCCTGGCTACGCTGTATCCTCGCTCACGCCCTCGCCTCCGTCCGAGCGGATAACTCCAGGAGGCCTCGCCTCTAAAGTCTCCGCTGGCCCTCGATGTGGCTCTTGCTGCGGGCCCTCCTCTGGTGGATGGACTGATGACACGCCGTCCGATAACAGCTGCGAACCATGACCCCCCTGCGCCAAAAAATCTTCAGACGCTGCCTCTAGTGAACCTTCCAGACTACGTTGAGCTGCGATGTGCGGTCCACCACGACGGTTCCGTGCCACCTCCTCCGCCAACCCCTGCTCCACCGCCCACGGTGCACCGGCATGAAAAATAGCGGGAGTGCCGGACTCTGGAGGATGCAGTATCGTGTCGCCGCCGAACTCGTCGAACCCTCTGTCACGACGCGCGTCATCTCGTCTAGCAGGCTCCGGTGGTGCCACAACCGGCAAAGTGGGAGATATCAGTAGCGATATATCGGGCAGAGATGCCAGGGCGGAATCCATGGTGAATAGCTCGTCGGTGGGCAGAAGACTGTCGGGCGGGCAGTCGAGGCCGACGTGGTGGTCCGTCGGAGGACGTTCGTCCTCCCCGTCCTTTCCACAAGTGGGAGTGGGTGCAACCTCTCCCTCCTCTAGACCGCCGTCACTCGTGTGAGGAGGCGGCTCACGTCGTGCCTCGCCATCCTCCAAACCCGCTCCTGTGGAGTGGACTGGGGCGCCCCCTGGAGTGCACCGAGTCTGCGCCTGGCGGAGTGGACCGGGTCCTCCGAACTCCGTCTCCTCCTCTGTGCCAACAACCGGAGCTGGCGACCGGGGATGAGTGATCCTAAACCCTATATCCTCCTCCGTCACTATCACATCAGTGTTCAAGGCTAGCTCCTCTGCATGAACCGGGTCGCGCTGCGTCTCGTTGGAAGGATCTCCCATCTCGTCCTCTGACACGGCAACCGGGTCCTGCCGCATGTCACGTGCCCCTGTGTCGATCGCAATGTGGACACGACGTCTGCGTACACGAGACGCAATACTGTCAT